TAAATGGAGATTGTGTTTTAGAAAAATGACAAGTCTAGCTACAGGAAAGTCATTGATAGAGTATAATGCAGAATTCTGGGATAAAACTTCTTGAATTGTAACTCTAGTCAGCCCTGCAGGATCTGTAACATTAGGAAAATTACTGAAATATTCAGCACTTCCATTTCCTGTTGCGTAAATCTCATAAAATCACACTAGGCTCGTATATTTGTTGTGGCATTAAATGGATTACATGCAGAAGATACATAGACAAGTTCCTGGCTCAGTGCTGGTCACCAGCCTTGCTGTCCTCACCTCACTACTGTTAGCAAGCTCATCACTCAGGAGAACAGAAAGCACTTCAGGCCTCTGTTCGCCCTACTCCTTGTGAAGATGGCAGGCATATAGGTAACTCAATAGCTTGGTACCCAAGGGTGAAAAAGTGAGTTCTGGTGTAACATCCCTGGGGAGGACACTAATTGACCCCATAAAGGCTGTGTGCATATCTGCAGAAATAACCATGGTGACTGGCTCTCCAAGGGCCAAATCTGAATTAAGAGTCCATCTATGGGTGGGAGAGATGGAGCTGAGCATAGATAAGGTCAACACACCCTAACTACAAGGTGCCTGTTCCCTCAGGTCATAGAGGATTGTAAAGAGGCTGGAAAAGCCGAGAGCATCTTCCAGCAACAGAGCTGGAACACATTTTTTTTTTTTTTTTTTTTTTTTTTTTTTTACTCCTGAATGGAAAGTTTATAACACTATTGGTTCCTTAGCAGAACTCACTGAAAGGAAATGTATCTTGCATCTCTTTCAAGTCCCTGTAACAGACACAGATAAACTTTAATAATTATGAGACATGAGGATTACTAAAATAATTCCAGCTGTTAGAATATTATAGAATAGAAAATATCTCAGCATGTATCACACAATTTATGATAATGTTTGGGATGGACTAAAAAATTTCTTACTGATTTTAAACTTCTGTCTTCTTTCGGTGTAAATCATAATATATGCCCACTGCTATAAAAACTATAAAACACACACCAAAAAAGCCCTTCTTTCTTTGCTCTACTTTCATGATCACCAGCAATGATTTGGTGCAAATGGCCAAGGCAGCATTTTACCTATTAATTGAAATCGTGTTTTATATCTTACCTAGCAGTATACATTCTGTGAGTGTTAGACAGCAAGTTAAATTAGCACTGTGTATATTGGTAGTCTAAAACAGTTTCAATGGTGATTAAACTTTCACAAACTGACATAAGTCTGTGTTGTAGATTTGATTTATTGCTTGTATTATGTTAATTGGGCTCCCAGAAAATTGTGCAAGAGTCCCTCATATAAGATGCTAGGATCCCTGCCTCCAGTTGGTTCTAATTGGTAAATAAAGTTGTTGGTGGCCAATGGCTGGGCAGAGAGACAGAGGGAACCAAGGGAAGAAGAAGGTTTAGTACCACCATGCTGGAGAAGCAGAAGGATTAGTCTTGAGGCTGCAGAAAAGAAAGCATACAATTATGTAAGAGCCAGGGAAGGGCAGCCCCAGAGGCACCTCCCACCTCTCCCCATTGGGTCTAAGGTAGCAAAGATAAAATATAGATTTTAGTAAGTAATAATTCAAAAATATTGGAGGGGAGGTATTAGCAATGTGGAAATTTGGGAGTGTTCCAGCCATTGAGCCAATTAAAGCATATTAAATTTAAGGCTATGGTGTATGTCTCTGTGTGTTTGTGTGTGTGTGTGTGTGTGTGTGTGTGTGTGAGTGTGTGTGTGTGAGTGCCTGTGGCTTTCATTTGAAGATCCAGAGCATTGGGGTGGGAAATGAAGAACTTTCACCTCTGCTGCCACTGGGGAGATTAGAACGGTTTAATCCACTACAGGTGATGTATTTGTTGTCCGATTTCCTCAATTTGAGGTCTGGTCTGGTCTGGTATGAAATGACATTTCTGATAACCTTTGTAATGACAAAGAATTCTATCAATTTTAAAATTATAGTCTAAACACTTACTTTTTTAGTTTTTTAAGGATAAGGTTTCTCTGTGTAGCTCTGGCTGTCCTGGAATTCACTCTGTAGACAGTCTGGCCTTGAACTCACATAGATTCACTTGCCTCTGCCTCCTGGATGCTGGTATTAAAGATGTTCATTAACACCTCCTGGCTTTACTTCTTTTTCTCAACCTCTTCTTTTAAAGTACCTAGACCAATTATAAACATAACAATTTTTATATTCATAGGAATTTTTGCAGTACATTTACTATTGCAGATTTAGCTGACTGGCAAAATGGGTCACAACCATTTTCCAGCATATAGAATAGTGAAAGAAACAGGATATATGGAATAATAATGGGTGCTGATTACATTTTCATTTCGTCTTTACTCATCCTTCTTTTATAATTCCCACAAAAATGAAAGTATACGGATAGACATGATATATCTATAATGTCTTTAGGAAGATAGATCAAAAACACTTGGAAGAATGATAACTTATAGCTAACCAGACAGAGGTTATTTATAATTCCCTCTGCATGTTATCGGTGGGGTTGGAAGCAGATAATAAAAACTCTAACTAAAGTACTCAGGAAACTTATAAATCAAGTTTGAGAGGAAAATAAAACACATTCAGATGTATCACTTCTCAAAAAATAAACTCTTATACACCATTTTAAAAGAGTATGTGTGAGCACCTGGATGGGTCAATGGGAGAGGCATTTGCCACCAAGCCTGAGGACTTGGAGGTGGAAGAATGTGTTTTATCGAGACAGAAGGTTAAGGAAAACAAAAACAAACTCAACACAATTATTAAATAATGAGACACAGGGGACATGAGACTTAGCACAGAAGAGAAGCTAACTAAGTCCTGGGGTCACTGCTGAATCGAATTCTCAGGACCACAATCCTGTAGGGGCTCCATGCAACCGTGGGTCCTGATTGGAATGGAGGACGACAGCCTCCAGAAGCCACCCTTCAGAAAACTTGAAAGTAGTACCTCTGACGTGTTTCTCTAAATTGTCAACTCATTTGCATGAATTTGTTCAAACATCCCCCTGCTACTAGTTCAGAGATGGAGTGATATTACTTCTCCCGTCCTTGTAGTTGGTGGTTTTCCCCTCCCCCATCAATGCATCTAAAGAATACTCGTTCTTATCGAGTTCAAAGAACCAGACTTTGGTTCATGTGTCCGCTGCTTTTCAGCTTTCTGCTTCACTGGTTTCACTCTGGCTTTTCTTAATCGCATTTCTTCTGATTTTTCTGCCTTTCTCTTGCTCCCCTATTGCTACTTTGCTGAGGTGGAACCCGATTTAAGCCATTTCTTTGAGTATGCGTACCTAGTGCTGTTACTTCCTGTATCATCTCTACGTTAGTAGCATCTCTCAGATTTAAAAATGTTTCCTTTTCCTTAGCATTCAGCTTACACTTTCTAAATTCCATTTTGACTCCTCTGATCAGAGGGTTATTTATACACCTGTTATTTAAATTCTAAGCCTCTGACAATTTTCTAGACATTTTTCTGTTATGGATTCCTACTTTCATGCTGTTATGACTAGAAAACACACACTTTTAAGCTTATTGAGGCTTATTTTGAAGCCAGAAGAAGATCCATTTTCATAAGTCTTCCACGTATACATTAACTAGTGGATGCATTCTGGTGTTGGGGAAACTTGCCGTAGGTGGGAGTTAAAAGTTGGCTGACAAAATTATTCAACCTCTCTGTATCATTACTGATTAGCCATCTACTCATAAAAGCAGTTCTTCAAGAAAGAGTGTGAAGGGCTAACTGTAATTGTGTGTGTGTGTGTGTGTGTGTGTTTCTATTACTCCCATCTGTTGACATATTGATCCTTACAGCATTATGAAGGAAGACACACTTTCCTTTGGTCATGTTCCTTGTTTTGATAGTTTAATAAGAACATGAAAACTCCAATGTTGTTTTTTTTTTTTTTGCATAGCAGCTTGGATGTCCAAGGCATTATCATGTTCATCTTTATTATTAATTTCATACACATCTCATTTTAATGATATATAAGTCAGAAATACACAGAAAACCAGGAATTTACAGAAGGTATATAAGAATGGAGGTTTCCATATATTTTTCCTACTTCCAGGGGACCATCGTACACAAATTCCAGTTTGGGGACCATAAGCCTTGGCAGCAGCATCTAGTGTCTTTTTCAGGTAGACAAACAAGAAGAACAGGATTATTAAAATGAAGTATTGTTGAAGATTTCCCTTGCTTTTATCTGCTTCCTGTTGGACCAAACTTAAAATTTCCATAACATACAACTCCTTTTAATTCAACTCAAGCAAGCGCGCAAAGTCATCATTTGGAACCACAACGGGACAAAACTCACACATGTTTTCCACCTTGTATGAGATAAAGCTGATAAAGCTCTGTGGTGGAATTAGTCTTCAGTGATCCACAACAACAGGAGAATGTCGGAGACTGACAGAGAAAGCAAAGTAGGAAGACATTAGGGGGAAGGAGCTGGGAAGTGCCTGTTCTTTGGTGTCAAAAGAACATGGGATGGAAAGGAAGGACTCATGGACAGTAGCCAGAATCTGTATCATAGAGAGACTGAATGGAGACCAGAGCTGGAGTGAGGATCTTGGCTGGTGTACCCCAGAAGGACAGTGTTGGGGAATCTATGGCACTAAAACCAGACTTCAAATTGCTCAGAGTCAGGTGACAGTGGCTACAGGTATTCATAAGGAAGGACAAGCTACTGCTTTAAATACTTGAAGAATATTGCTTAGAGACTCTGAGAGTCTCTCTGAGAGAGGAAATGACACCATCAGGTGAGGCCAATGGGACTTGGGACCTAGACCAGAGAAGTAACAGTGTCAGATGGAGCAAGTAAGAGAGAAGCCGAAATGTGGAAAAATAAACAGTGAGGCATGGGATGAGTGGAGAAGACTGAGCAGAGAGAGGGAGCCATCAAACCTTATGAGTTCCTGCCACGGGAGGCACTATTCATTAGAGAACAGGTTGTTGATGCTGATATTTTTGAGAGTAGAGCCGAGCTTTAACCATGGCCCTTGTCTTCTGATCTGGCAAGACAAAGATCTGGGAATTTTATCTTGAGAATCCTTCTCAACTTGTGGTTGCTTAGAATCAGAATGGTGGAATGCAGTGAGATGCCCATGTAGATTATCACTTCCCAGGCCCAGTGCCAGGAATCCTGGGTATTTATGATTCGTGTAACATGTAACATAAGGAACAGGACATATGATATGTAGAAGATGAGGAAGAAGGCAAGAGACTTCAGAGCCATAGTGTGAGCCTGGGTGCTGTAATCATGAGACCTGGGCCTGTGATACCTCATCTGTTCCAGATGCCGGTACAGTGAGAACATGAGCAAGATGATGGACAGCAGAATCAAGAAGAGTGGAATGACCCACATCAGCATTGCATGACAGCGAAAATAATACACGTAGAATGCTAACATTCTAAAAGCAACTGTGTAGTTTTCACGGGCCATCATCTGAAAGGCAATTGTGTTTCCAGTGGCTGAAGAGATGGCTGACAGTCCACCGATGATCAGGGATCCCAGCAATAACCTGGGTACTGACCGAGAAATTCTCCATTTAATCCAGAAGAAGATGGGGTGGGAGAACAAAGAGATCTTTACACAGTAGAAGATGGCAAGCCAGGTGGTTAACCAGAAATTGACTGTGTTGATGAAGTCCCAGAGGACATAAAAATAGATCTTTAGGGTCCAAAGCATAGTGAAGGCCAGGAAGTTGTTTAGGAAGGCTACTCCATGCAGACAGAACCTGGAGGCAGCGAGGCAAGCCACAATCATGTCACCTTCAGGGAGTCCCTGTCTCCGTAGCCATTTCCTGCACAGCACAGTGGCCATGAAGCCATTTTGCAGCAAAGCAGCTAGAGACTGCATACAAAAGATGACCATGAAGATGAATGTACGTGAGAAAGGCATCATCTCTGGGAAGAATTTGTTTATACTGACTCGACTCCTACTGCCAAGCCCTGAGACACATCCACAGAGAGAACAGCATATTTATTTAGCCAATCATCTTACCAAAACATCTTCCTTGATTCATGCAAAATCCAAGACACCAGTGAGGCTCATGGTTACCAGAGCTGAGATGGGGATAGCTGCTGTCCCCTCTGGCATGAAAATCACTCTCAGTTCAATGACACTGAGGTGTCTCCTTGCAGATGCTGCATTTGCCTGCTCTTCATCAGAGTGAGGTATAGGGAAATGTGAACAGGATTCAAGGGTGATCCAATACACCAACAGTCTGTACATTTTTACCTTTCCCATTTTTAGTGTTGTAATCAACAGTGTATATTTATCAGTATATAGTTAAATGGGTTTTGCTGTAACATTTTCCTGCATGTATATACGATGCGTTGACCACATCAGCCCTCCTAGGCTAACTCTAGGCTACCTTACTCTTCTCTTGTAACCCATCAACCAATTCTAACTTAGTCTGCCTTTATTTTAGCTTAAATGGTTGAGAGAAAACATGTTATTTTTGGCTTTATGTATCTTGATTACTTTATAGGATCTATAATTTATCCTATTTTTACACAAATAGCATCACTTTATCTTGCTATTATGGTCCAGTGTGTGTGTCTTTAAATCTATCTATCTATCTATCTATCTATCTATCTATCTATCTATCATCTATCTTCCTACATCTGTCATCTCTCTATATATCTATATTGTTTTCCCGTATCTGTTTATCTATAGATGAATGCTGAGGCAGATTCTCAAGTTCAGCTATTATAAATCACATTTAAATGAATATGTAAGGATCTGTTACCTATGCTGACTTCATCTTTCTTGATCATAATTCAGGAGTGAAATAGTTTGCTCTTGTATTAGACCAATGTTTGGCTTTAGAGACTCTACTGGACTGACATTCCTGGTGATTGGACTAATTTGCATTTTCCCTGGCAGTGTACAAGGTCTTGCATTCTATATTCACTCTCCCTTTTCATTGTTGTTTGTTTTCTCTTGGTAGCCAATATGGAGAGGGTGAGATGAAGTCTCAGCGAAGTGTTGATTGACATCTAGTTCTCACTATTGTATAATTAAATGCACTTTCATTTCCTTTCAATGGCCACTCTGAGCTTTACCTTACTGCATGCACACTTCAAATGGCACTGTGTTAACATATAATATAGCATATAATATAGTAATTTTTATAAACATAAAAATTTTTCCTTGTCTAATTTCTATGGGCTGATATACTTTATTTCCATATATGTTGAAAACTCCATAATTCTTATTTCTTTTGTATGCAGGTCCCTATACTAAGGTAGGCACAACTGAGTCAGGTGAACATGAGTTGGCAAAGACTGTAGATCCATCTTCCTCATTTTCCCCCAACTTTGTGATGCCCCCTGTGAAGAAACACTCTGAGTGCCTGAGAATTATCTAGCATTACTAGGGCAGTCACACTTGTCACTTGCTTAGTTCTCTGATTTAAAATCAAGTTTCCTTTTGAAACTTAGTAACTAAGACAGCTAAAAACATTTCAATTAACATGAAATGAATTTTACCACCAATCAAACTATAAAGTTACGAACTGACTATGATAGTGCTTGAAGCCTCCCAAAGAGAACAATCAAGAAGAGTAACTGGATTAAAAGCAAATCCCAAGGTGCATGGACTTTAAGCTTAAGGAAAATAGTTCTGAAAATCTATGGGGAAGAAATGGCTTTTTTATCAAAACCTATTAGTACTTTAGCATCTATATTAGGACCTAATTGACTTCATTCTCCAAAGTCGATTGTAATGTTATATTTGTAGATGAAAGGCACACAGTCTTCTGAAGAGTCAAATGGGGAATGTATTTACAGTTTCAAAGTATGAAAATATTTCTCAAGACTGGAAAATTTAAAAGAAAGCATCAACCATAAAGGGGAAAATGTGTGACAGAAATAGCTCAAAGATGTTATGACACACAAAACATAAGACACACAGTGGACAAACACAGAGCTGGCTGGTGAGAATACAGGGAGAGTTTGTGCAGAACGTTCGTGAGAACAGCACAGAGATTTCAAAAGGAAAAAGGCAAAATCATAAATGACAAATACACTCAGGAAGGAAAGAGAAAAATTTAAAAGCCCATTAAATGTATACTAAGGGTTTAATATTATTGATGGTACAACAGGAGTGAATTATTACCACGGTGGACATCAAATCATAACCACAGAACAGCAAAATTAACTCTGTCTTTCTTTCTGTCTCTCTCTGTCTGTCAGTCTGTCTGTCTGTCAGTCTCTCTCTCTCTCTCTCTCTCTCTCTCTCTCTCTCTCTCTCTCTGTCTCTCTGTGTGTCTCTCTCTCTGTGGTGTGTGTGTGTGTGTGTGTGTGTGTGTGTGTGTGTGTGTGAAGGTATGTAGTACTGGAAAGATACATCCTGTTGGTGGTGGCAAAGGAAATAGGTGCAGCTATATTTTAAAACATTTTAGCATTATCAACTAAACTGATATACATACAAACAAGGAAAACTAAATTTTAGTCTTTAAGACACAAAACTAAATGTAAAGCTAAACATGAAAGTACGTTGTAGGAATACATCTGTGAGCTGAGAAGGGATTGGGCTGAGGAGATTTTTCTGTATCTCTGAGTTCTGCTCACATATGCTTTCAAGTGCCTTGGTGTCTCTTATGTTTCCCTGTATGAGTAGATACTTTATAAATAACTGTGTGAAAGTAAAAGTATCCAATAGGAAAAAAGCCAGTAATGGATAAAAGCATGCTTTATTAGATGACACTAAAAAATAAAAATAATAGAGGCTGGAGAGAAGGATCAGTGGTTAAGAGCTCTGGCTGTTCTTGCAGAGGATCCCAACGCTATTTCCAGCACCCACAATCATCTGTAACTCCAATTCCAGAAGATCCAATGGCCACTCATGGCCTCTGAGAGAGACAGGCACAGTACACAGACATGAATGGAGGCAAATGATTTGTAAAAAATTACACACACACACACATATATATATGGCTAAAGAAAGACAGTGATAGAGTCAGTGGATTCGGAACAACTTTCTAAAGACTGCCTCATAGTGTGTTCAAACGTTATGTAACTGTGTGGATGGGTGTGTGTGACCTTCTCCATTAATGTAGTATAAGATGTGGAGCCTTGGATTGTGGTTAGGTCATGAGCCTGGAGCCCTTGTGAGTAAGATGAATACTTACAGTTTCCATCCTTCTAGGTTACAGCTACAAGATACTACATATGAGAAGGTGGTTCTCACCAGACACTAAACGTGCCAGCACCTCCATCTTGGATTTCTCTCCCCAGGAACAGTACAACTTTTTACCAATTATTTATAGACTCAGACTAATTCAAATAAACTAAGGTAATTTACTCCATGTAAACAGATAAGTATCTGTTTAGCAGAGTAAAAATGAGCAACTGTTTTTCAGTTTATTAGTACATATGTTTACATTATGAAATTTAAAACCATTTATTATGGAAAGTGCTAGAATATCAGTGTTATGGTAAGTCATGTTAAGTATGTGTGTCTTTACACACATACTGATAAAACACATACCATAAGACATTCATGTTCTCTGTCTCTGTGCCCTCTCTCTGTATGTCTCTGTGTCTCTCTCTGTCTCTGTTTGTCTCTGTCTCTCTGTTTCACTTTCTGTGTGTATGTCTCTGTGTATCTCTCTGTATCTGTCTCTCTCTGTCTCTCCTCTTCTGAAAAAGAGAGAGATTGCCCCATTGCTAGGAATTGTTAGGAATCTAACAATATCATCCAAATTCCAGTTCTGGGTATGTGGCTGCTCACAGCTTCCCGTAGAAGGAACACATCACTTCCTTATGATCCTTACTGTGTGAGCAAAGCTTCCACCTTCAGTGTTTTTCTCTAAGAAGCCAGCCACACTCTCTATTCTTATGCTTTGGAGCTTTCCAACGGAAGAGTCATGATACACAACATCACTACCTTCATTTGATATTCTAACATCTTACTGGCCTTATTTCTGGTAACTATACTTGCCAGAGTCTCAGCTGCTGGTCTTCATGGTCTGGAAGTCACTTTAGAGATACAACACTGTCCCTCCAGCCAATTGCCCCCTGGGACCTGAAGGTAGGTGGGTGAGCCAGAGGTGTGGCTGAGGTTAGGGCTGACCCTTCTCAAGTGAGACTTCCTTCTCAGCACTTTTGGAGTTTTATTATATAATGTGTACTGTATCTCAATTTGTTTATATATGTTATATATTTATTAAGTAATAAGGGATCATAGCTTTCTTCACTGTTTGACTCTTGATATTAATGAGATTAGTCTTTACCAATCTTACTGTTGTAATATATTTTTCAGTGTTTAATAGACTTTTCAGTGACTGTGCATCTTTTAAAAGACACCCACTGAACATTTATATTTCTTTTGTGACCTGTTCTTGTACACTCTGTTCTCATATTTCTAGTGTGTAGTTGCTCTTCTTTTAATATAAATGTTGAAATAGCAACTATTTATAGATATTGAACAGCAAAACTCTACTGAAAACATTGTCATGCTTGGATTTATCCTTTCTACTATTCTCTAGTGTCTTTTTTTCAAATAGTTTAAATCTTTTAATTGTCAGTTTGAGTGATTTTCTTATCTTTTTTGTTTTGGCTTTTAAAAAAATACATTTGCCAACTCCAAGTTATGACAAAACCATTCCACATTTACTGCTACTCTTTTTAAAGGTAGTTTAAAGGCTTATAGGGCTTTTGGTTGATGTTGTTTTTAACCATGTGTGTTCCTAGTGCTCATTGAGGTCAGGACAGGACATTGGATCCCTTGGAATTGGAGTTTCAAATAGCTGTGAACTGTCCTGTTCTGGGTAGGGGGAACTGAACCCGGGTCCTATGGAAGAGCCAGTGCTCTCAGTGGCTGAGCCATCGTACCAGCCGTGGAGGTTTATAGTTTTATTAACTTGTAATATAAATGTTTATATTTTTTATATTATCAATTAAGAGCAATGTCCAGCTACTCAATTCAAGGATTTTTTTTATTGAATAATACATCCTCCCTCTACT